TTATGCGGTTTGACCGATAAAGATCTTTGTAGAATATGTAGGAGCCAATATGACCATCCAGGTTCTGCTATTGGTTATTGACCGGAGACGTGTCTCGGTTATGTCTACATAGTTCTCGAACCCGTAGGGTCCGCACGCTTAACGTTCGGTGACGATCGGTATTATGAGTTTATGTGTTTTGACGCACCGAAGGTAGTTCAGAGTCTCGGATGAGATTGGGGACATGATGAGGAGTCTCAAAATGGTCGAGACGTAAAAATCGATATATTGGAAGGCTATATTCGGACATCGAAAAGGTTCCGAGTGATTCGGGTATTTTTCGTAGTACTGAGGAGTTACGGGAAGTCGTTCAGGGAGTCAATGGGCCTTAATGGACCTTAGTGGGAAGGAGAGACAACAATCAGGAGGTGGCACGCGCCCCTCCCAAGCCCAGTCCGAATTGGACAAAGGGTTTGGGGCGCGGCCCCCCTCTCCCTTCCTTCTCCCCTCCCCCCTCTTTCCCTCTTCTCCTAGTTGGACTAGGAATGGAGGAAACCTACTCCTACTAGGAGTAGAAATCCTACTCCCTTGGCGCGCCCCTCCTAGGGCCGGCCTCCTCCTCCCTCCATCCTTTATATACGTGGGGAGGGGGCACCCCATAGACACACAAGTTGATCATTGATCTCTCTTAGCCGTGGGCGGTGCCCCCCTCCACCATAATCCACCTCGGACATATCATAGCGGTGCTTAGGAGAAGCCATGCATCGGTAACTTCATCAACACCTTCATCACGTCGTTGTGCTGACGAAGCTCTCCCTCGAAGCTCTACTGGATCGTGAGTTCGCGGGACGTCACCGAGCTGAACGTGTGCTGAACACAGAGATGTCGTACGTTTGGTACCGAGGATCGGTCGATCGTGAAGACGTACGACTACATCAACTGTGTTTTCATAACGCTTCCGCTTACGGTCTACGAGGGTACGTAGACAACACTCTCCCCTCTCGTTGCTATGCATCACCATGATCTTGCGTGTGCATAGGATTTTTTTTTAAATTACTACTTTCCCCAACAAATCTGTAGTCCCTGTTTCGAGTTGCAAATATTAGCAACAGAACCAGTATCAAATACCCAGGTACTACTTGTCAGCATTAGTAAGGTACACATCAATAACATGTATATCACATATACCTTTGTTCACCTTGCCATCCTTCTTATCCGCCAAATACTTGGGGCAGTTCCGGTTCCAGTGACCAGTCCTTTTGAAGTAGAAGCACTCAGTCTCAGGCTTAGGTCCAGACTTGGGCTTCTTCACTTTAGCAGCAACTTGCTTGCCATTCTTCTTGAAGTTCACCTTCTTCCCTTTACCCTTTTTCTTGAAACTGGTGGTCTTGTTGACCATCAACACTTGATGCTCCTTCTTGATTTCTACCTCTGCAGCCTTTAGCATGGCAAAGAGCTCAGGAATTGTCTTATCCATCCCTTGCATATTACAGTTCATCACGAAGCTCTTCTAGCTTGGTGGTAGTGATTGAAGAATTCTGTCAATGACACTATCATTAGGAAGATTAACTCCCAGTTGAATCAAGTGATTGTTATTCCCAGACATTTTGAGTATATGCTCACTGACAGAACTATTCTCCTCCATCTTGCAGCTGTAGAATTTATTGGAGACTTCATATCTCTCAATCCAAACATTTACTTGAAATATTAACTTCAACTCCTGGAACATCTCATATGCTCCATGACGTTCAAAACGTCGTTGATGTCCCGGTTCTAAGCCGTAAAGCATGGCACACTAAACTATCGAGTAGTCATCAGCTTTGCTCTGCCAGACGTTCATAACATCTGGAGTTGCTACTGCAGCGGGTTTGGCACCTAGCGGCGCTTACAGGACGTAATTCTTCTGTGCAGCAATGAGGATAATCCTCAAGTTATGGACCCAGTCTGTGTAGTTGCTACCATCATCTTTCAACTTAGCTTTCTCTAGGAATACATTAAAATTCAACGGAACAACAGCACGTGCCATCTATCTACAACAACGTAGACATGCAAAATACTATTAGGTACTATGTTCATGATAAATTAAACTTCAATTAATCAAATTACTTAAGAACTCCCACTAAGATAGACATCCCTCTAATCATCTAAGTGATCACGTGAAACATATCAACTAAACCATGTCCGATCATCACGTGAGATGGAGTAGTTTTCAATGGTGAACATAATTATGTTGATCATATCTACTATATGATTCACGCTTGACCTTTGGGTCTCAGTGTTCCGAGGCCATATCTGCATATGCTAGGCTCGTCAAGTTTAACCCGAGTATTCTGCGTGTGCAAACTTGGCTTGCACCCGTTGTATGTGAACGTAGAGCTTATCACACCCGCTCATCACGTGGTGTCTCGGCACGACGAACTTTCGTAACGGTGCATACTCACGGAGAACACTTGTACCTTGAAATTTAGTGAGAGATCATCTTATAATTCTACCATCGAACTAACCAAAATAAGTTGCATAAAGGATAAACATCACATGCAATCAGTATAAGTGATATGATATGGCCATCATCATCTTGTGCCATTGATCTCCATCTCCAAAGCACCGTCATGATCACCATCGTCACCGGCGCGACACCTTGATCTCCATCGTAGCATCGATGTCGTCTCGCCAACTATTGCTTCTACGACTATCGCAACGCTTAGTGATAAAGTAAAGCAATTACATGGCGATTTCATTTCACACAATAAAGCGACAACCATGTGGCTCCTGCCAGTTGCCGATAACTCCATTACAAAACATGATCATATCATACAATAAAATTTAGCATCATGTATTGACCATATCACATCACAGCATGCCCTGCAAAAACAAGTTAGACGTCCTCTACTTTGTTGTTGCAAGTTTTACGTGGCTGCTATGGGCTGAGCAAGAACCGTTCTTACCTACGCATCAAAACCACAACAATTTTTCATCAAGTATGTGTTGTTTTAACCTTCAACAAGGACCGGGCGTAGCCACACTCGATTCAACCAAAGTTGGAGAAACTGACACCCGCTAGCCACCTGTGTGCGAAGCACGTCGGTAGAACCTGTCTCGTGTAAGCGTATGCGTAATGTCAGTCTGGGCCGCTTCATCCAATAATACCGCCGAATCAAAGTATGACATGATGTTAAGCAGTATGACTATTATCACCCACAACTCACTTGTGTTCTACTCGTGCATATAACATCTACGCATAAACCTGGCTCGGATGCCACTATTGGGGAACGCAGTAATTTTGAAAACATCCTACGCACACGCAAGATCATGGTGATGCATAGCAACGAGAGGGGAGAGTGTAGTCCACGTACCCTCGTAGACCGTAAGCGGAAGCGTTATGACAACGTGGTTGATGTAGTCGTACGTCTTCACGATCCGACCTATCCTAGTACCGAAAGTATGGCACCTCCGCGATCTACACACGTTCGGATCGGTGACGTCCCACGAACTCTTGATCCAGCTGAGTGTCGAGGGAGAGCTACCAGAGTAGGGCTTCGCCTAAGCAGTGCAATGATATTCCTGAGGTGGATTATAGTGGAGGGGGCACCGCACACGGCTAAGACAATGTCTGTTTTTGTGTTCTAGGGTGCCCCCTTCCTAGTAGGAGTAGTCCTCCCCCTTTCCTAGTCGGCCCTTGGGGCGCGCCAAGGAGGGGGAGGAGTCCTCCTCCTAGTAGGAGTAGGACTCCCCCTTTCCTAGTCCAACTAGGAGGACGAAGGGGGAAGGAAGGAGAGGGAGAGAGGGAGGGAAAGAGGGGGCGCCCACCCCCCTCCTTGTCCAATTCGGACTCCTCAAGGGGGAGCGCGCGGCCAGCCCTATGGCCCCCTCCTCTCTCTCTCACAAGGCCCATGTTGTCCCATTAGTCCCCCCGGGGGTTCCGATAACCCCCCATCACTCCGATAATTATCCGGTGACCCCCGAAACTCATCCGGTGTCCGAATATAGTCATCCAATATATCTATCTTTATGTCTTGACCATTTCGAGACTCATCGTCTTGTCCGCGATCACATCCGGGGCTCCAAACTATCTTCTGTACATCAAAACACATAAACTCATAATACCGATCGTCGCCGAACGTTAAGCGTGCGGACCCTACGGGTTCGAGAACTATGTAGACATGACCGAGACACATCTCCGGTCAATAACCAATAGCAGAACCTGGATCTTCATATTGGCTCCCACATATTCTACGAAGACCTTTATCGGTAAAATGGCATAACGATATACGTTGTTCCCTTTGTCATCGGTATGTTACTTGCCCGAGATTCGATCGTCGGTATCTCAATACCTAGTTCAATCTCGTTACCGGCAAGTCTCTTTACTCATTCCGTAATGCATCATCCCGCAACTAACTCATTATTCACATTACATGCAAGTCTTATAGTGATGTGCATTACCGAGAGGGCCCAGAGATACCTCTCCGTCAAACGGAGTGACAAATCCTAATCTCGATCTATACCAACTCAACAAGTTCCATTGGAGACACCTGTAGAGCACCTTTATAATCTCCCAGTTACGTTGTGATGTTTGGTAGCACACTAAGTGTTCCTCCGGTATTCGGGAGTTGCATAATCTCATAGCCATAGGAACATGTATAAGTCATGAAGAAAGCAATAGCAATATACTAAACGATCAAGTGCTAAGCTAACGGAGTGGGTCAAGTCAATCACATCATTCTCCAATGATGTGATCCCGTTAATCAAATGGCAACTCATGTCTATGGCTAGGAAACTTAACCATCTTTGATTCAATGAGCTAGTCAAGTAGAGGCATGCCAGTGACACTCTGTTTGTCTATGTATTCACACATGTACTAAGTTTCCGGTTAATACAGTTCTAGCATCAATAATAAACATTTATCCTGATATAAGGAAATATAAATAACAACTTTATTATTGCCTCCAGGGCATAGTTCCTTCACCCAAGTGGATTGACACTATCGTCAATGCAAGGAGAAGTGGGGCTGGGTGCGTCGTGCCATGGCCAATAGTGACAATGGCCTTGACAGAACCACTTTCACATTCACACTTTCTGAGTCAGAAAAGCAAAGACTCAATGTAAGTTCTTAGTAGTTTTTTTCTCTTATTTATATCATGGTCTGATCTAAAAATGAGTGGATAGCTGCTATTGTCTATATATATATATATACATATATATATATATATATATATATATATATATATATATATATATATATATATATGCTTCATATTCACTGTCTCTTGTTGTGTTTTTTTATACCTGCAGCTTCTCTCATGTTTTGTGTTCATTACATCATTATTTTACTCTTTTTACCTTACCTTGTGTGCATAAAACTGCAGTCAATTATCTTACCAGACCCATTAGTTTCTTTCAATTGGAAGAGTTATTCTCGGATCAATCTCATGCTGATGGCTCACTCGCAGTTGACCAAACCACTGTCAATGTGGATGATGGTAGTGATGACAGCGAGGATGTGAGGGAACTTGAGGGAAATCTAATTCCAGCAGACAGTGATGAAGCTGACTTTGACACTATTGATCGTCGCAGTCCTAAAGTTGACTTGGATGGCAATCCAATAAACAAGAAGAGCAAGTGTGCGTCATCATCACCTTCCAAGAAGCCAACCAAGGGCAAAGCAAACAAGAAGGGCAAGGTATCTAATGATGATATGGTAACCAATATCAAGAAGCTAGCTGAATCCATTGCATCCCCTATTGTGTATGTGAAACCAATGACACCTGCAGATCCTTATGCAAATCTTTGGAAGCGGATCAATGCTCTTACAATCCCAGCTAAGGATAAACTTGAGATTATTGCCTATCTATCCAAGCCATACCAAGATATATTTCGTAGCTATCTTAACTATGCTGATGAAACAATTCTTCGAGAGTGGGTCATTAGCTACTTTGAGCCTCAGTTTCATGAAGGTGGCAATGATGGATCTGCGGCTGCTCACTGAATTGCCACATGGTTAGATAGAGTTTGTGGCAACCTTTTGTTTATATCGCTAGGAACGCTTTAACACGTAGTGGGAGCATGGATAACATCATCATGCATATTTTGTCTATATACAGCAAACTTGGGTGCATCATGTACTATTTGTATGGAGTGCATTTGGTGCATGGCTGGCTGTTTATGTCCTAGATGGTATGGTAAAGGATGTGAACCTTATTTTGTCTATCATGTATCAAACAATATATGAGCTACTTAATGTATGAGTTTAATTATCTCATTCTGAAATTCTGGAAATGCATAGTTTGTGTGCGTATGTGTGTTGGTTAAAAAATTATAAGACTGCTTGTTTACACACAAGTGTTCTTTTATTGGCTGGCATGCAATTTTCAAATTTTGAAACCAAACCAAACACATGCCAGTCAAAGGTGCCAAATATTTGGCTTCAAACCAAATGACATCCAATGGTTTTGCCAACAAATTGGCAAGTACTAATGGCTACAATCCAAACAGCCATGACTTGCCAATTTTTTGGTCATGACTCATGCCCTGGAATTGGTGATGCCAATTATTTGATAGGGCAAGATTGGGCTCAATCCAAATAGCCCCTACTTAATGTACTCATGTACAGGTCCAGATGATGGCAACATTAGGTCGGCTGGCTTTACCTAATTAGATACCATTAGCTAGATCCAAATCCATGAACGACTATCCTAGTAACACCAGCTAGAGTATCTACATATAGATAGGAGTACTAATCATCACCATTAATTCAGAAGGTCACGGGGATTATCAGCAGCAAGCTGTCCAGCACTACTAGATTATGCATCAGCTCAACTACCGGTCCCTGCTGCCCTACCACAGATACCTGCAGCACAAGTACTTGGGCACTTAGCTGCAGCTGATGGTTTGCTGAGCAGATTTGATTGATGGCCATGCTGCCGCTGCTTCTAGCTAGATAGTACTGTACTGTACTAGTACTACTAACTAACAGAAGATCATGTCATGAGCTGATGGTTTGGGAGAATATCTTAGCAGTCCCAAGTACCAACTAGCTAGCTATAGTTTGCAGTCAGCAGTCCTGGATCCCAATGTAGTATGTACAGGTTAAGGTACCATTTGTTATTTGTTAACAAGCATGTCGTCAGTAATGTTAAAGATTCATGGACTCTGTAGGCAGGCGGGGTAACAGTGGGAGAATTGCATTTGCAGATGGCAGTTTTCTGATAACCTACAGCAGACACATGAACAGCCACCGCATGCTGCAACATGGAGGGGTGGTTATTTTACTGCACCATCGCCACTACTTAGATTTTTTTTGTCGGTGAGCTTGTACTTAGATTTCTCCATGATTCTTCCAAGATCCATTCTGGTCAAAAATATCCAGGCACCTCCCAGATGGTGCCCACGAAGTACTCTCTGACCGCCAAGAAGGTCAAGTAGTACTTTAACTAATGAACTGAAAAGTTAATGCTGCTGGGAGGTTTGTTTGACAAAATGGATGGAACTGCATGCCCGAGAATGATTTTGCATAATGCGCACGCTGACGTAGGTGCCAAAGAAACAAGGTTAGTTAATTAACTAGATCGAGAGATGATATGATGATGGAGTGACCAAGTGAAGAAACAAGTGATTGAAGCTCCAAGAACGGTGCGCTCTGCCACCTTGTGCAGGAACATGCTAAGAAGCATGCACAGCTCCACGATGATTGATCGAGCTGCATGGAGTGCACCTAAAGCTGATCAGATAAGAAGTGTGTGGCATGCAGATGAGTTTTTGATCGCCGGAATAATATTACCTGCTTGTGACTTTTGATGCAGAGGCAGATGAGTGTACATGCATGTTGCAGCTATGCTAGCATCACAGGCCACAGATTTTGTTTCCTCTGAAACCAAGTTAACTAAAATAGTCTAGCTAGCTAGCTAGCTAGCTTACTTGCAGTGTTGAAAGACGCATCTTGCTTTACACTGACTAAGCAACAGTTGGATCGACTCTCGGCCTAAGCAAAGTCTAGCCTAACAGATAAGAATAGGACGATGTGAGAGCATCATGCATAAATGGGAGGATCTGAAATGTGCTCTCGAACTCGGGGCATGTGCATCTTCTGATACAGAGACCGAGCGATGAACTCTTCTTTTGTCAAGTTTTTTCCTTATCGAACTTTGACAACTGAAACTGGTATTTGTATTGCTCTATAGTTTCATTTTATATTTTCATATGTTACTCTATATCAATATACTCCCTCCGTTTTTAAATATAAGTCTTTGTAGAGATTCCACTATGGACTACATACGGAGCAAAATAAGTGAACCTACACTTTAAAATGCATCTACATACATCCGTATGTGGTCCATAGTGAAATCTCTATAAAGACTTATATTTAGGAACGGAGGGAGTTTATGATTTTTTTAGTTTGCTAATCACATGTCCCATGCGGTATGTTCCTCTATATCTAATCCCTCATAATATACCTACGAAACTGCCAGGTGTGGGCATTGGTTAGTGGATAAGTGGGCACACACAAAACCGAAAGGATATCCATCAGAAAGGCAAATGGCCAAAAAGTTTGATTAGACGTGAAGACGAGAGAGAGCTGGAGCCGGAGCCGGGCCAATCATAGTCGCCCAATTATTGGCGTTTGATTGGCTCTCATGAATGAATATAAAAGAAAGGAGAAGAAGATCGTTGATAGCAATGGTTACACACTACGGAATACGTATAGGACAACAGGAGTATGTAGATATACCAAAAAAGAAGAACCGATACTCATTTCAAAGAAAAATCTAAAACCGATCCAACACTCACCGTTGTCCTTTTTCAGGGAAGGTGCTAGCTAAAGCAATTTCGAGGAAAACGGACATCAGTGCGGTAGTAGCATGCTTAGTTGTACTGTCGGCCGCCTGAATTTTACCCATGAAATTCAGGCAGAAAATTCAATATTTTTTTGTTGGAATGGAGGCTCAAGAAGAGCCCAGCTTTGAATTAACAAAGTCATCAACCGGTTAGAATTATACAAGGCCACCAAACATGAGCGGCCGAAAGATACATGGGAGCTGACTGAGCAGCTTACAATGCAACACACACTACTGCACACCAAGAAAATACACGAGAAAATCCTGCAAGTAATGTCGAAGCCCGCTGCACCCCGGAACCAAAGTCAGGAAAACAAAGTAGCATCGAGGATCAGTCAATAGCATGGAAGCACCGAGAGTCGTCTGACCATGGAGCATCGGAGAAAACGAGCACCTGTCTTCCAACGCCGAAGAGGAACCCTGTCCTCTCGCCTAGACTTGAAGGCGCTACACCATTGGATCATTGGGAGCTCACCCGAGAGCTAGAGCAGGCGCCGGCCGACAAACCAAAGCAAGCAAGCTATCGGTCATTGCCACACCGAAGATGCACCACATTCGCCGCACTGCCACCTTCCTTGGACAATCGAGAAACAGAAGGAAAGCTGCCAGGAGGATCGTCGAAGAAGCACTGCAGAGCACCAGGGGCGAACATTGGAAGCACCAGGTGTCGCTCCAGTGTCCACACAAGGGGAGAGGCATCTGCGGTGCATGTCGTGGAGCTGTCGACAGGAAGGGGAACCCTATCCCCCTCCGACCCGGCTTAGGCGCAGAGCCACCAGGGCACAACCACGACCTTGCCGCCGCAGAGCACCACTCCGTAAAGGCACACACCTGCAGGAACACACACCCTACACAAAAAAAATCACCCCTTGGGCTCGCCGCTTACGAGCGCTCTCCAACTGAGGGAGTCCTGGATTAAGGGGTCCTCGGGCGTCCGGGCTATGTGACTTGGGCCGGACTCGTTGGCCGTTGTGATACAAGATGGAAGGCGTTCCCCCGTGTCCGGATGGGACTCCTCTTAGCGTGGAGCTTAGCATTCAGATATGAAGATTCCTTTCTCTGTAAACCGACTCTGTACAACCCTAGCCCCCTCTGGTGTCTATATAAACCCGAGGGTTTAGTCCGTAGAGGCAATCATAATCATACAGGCTAGACTTCTAGGGTTTAGCCATTACGATCTCGAGGTAGATCAACTCTTGTAACCCCTATACTCATCAAAGTCAATCAAGCAGGAAGTATGGTATCGCCTCCATTAAGAGGGCCCGAACCTGGGTAAACATCGTGTCCATGTATCCTGTTACCTTCGATCCTTAGACGCACAGTCCAGGACCCCCTACCCGAGATCTACCGGTTTTGACACCGACATTGGTGCTTTCATTGAGAGTTCCACTGTGCCGTCATCGAAAGGCTCGATGGCTCCATCGATCATCTGCAACAACACTGCCGTGAAGGAGATTTTTCTCCCCGGCCAGATCTTTGTATTCGGCGGCTTCGCACTATGCGCCAACTCGGTTGGCCACCTAGAGCAGATCGACAGCTATGCCCCTGGTCACAAGATCAGTTTTGGAAATCTGAACTACGTCGCTGATATCCGAGGAGACTTGATATTCCAAGGGTTCGCGGCCCCAACCACCGCTCCGGCCTTAGATCCGGAATGTGTCACCAGGTCTGAAGATGGGAGTCTAGAGCCCGTCGGACTCCCTGCGGCTATAAAGACCAACACTGGAGAGCTGGAGAGAATAGCGTCTCCGGCAGTCATCACAAAGCCGGACTCTTATCCGGACACTAGCTCCGAACCATGCGAGCTCGGCCAGGAAACTTCTGTCCCCGTCCAAACCTTGCTCTTAAACGAGGTCTTGGACTTAATGCCATCCCTCACCATCACTGAGGAACCACTTCCGAATTGCGCCTAGCCCGGACTAGGGGCTGAAAATAGGGAATCTTACTTCCCACCCACCACCCACTTCATAGCCACTGTCAAGGCTCTAACCGACCTGCTCGATTATGCCTCCGAAGACATCGACGGTATGGACGACGATGCAGGACAGGAGCATGCCCAAAACCCACCGTTCACTGGACGTTGGACGGCCATTTCCTCATACGACGTATACATGGTGGACACACCTAAAGAAGGCGACGACTATGATGAGAAGGA